AGGTTAACTATTCATTGGCAGCTGGTGTACTGTAGATTGGTGGGTAGTAAACTACTGATTGGTGACAGATAAACTGTTGATTAGTAACCTCCATTGAAGCCAAGTTGTCACTTGACAACAAAAAAATAAATATCCTTAAATTTCGGGAGAATTACTATTTGATGTCAAAGACTCCAGACTGTGTAACAAAATCAAAACTCAATGTTGGTGTTTACTGTTACCAACACCTGTTACACCAAAGAAAGCTTTATATTAGACGATTGAGAATGTTTACTTTGTTAGGCAGAGGTAGTATGTGTAAAATATGATAGTACCAGAAGAGCGGCTGTTGGGGGAGTAACTGTTATCGCTCGTGGCGTGTGTGTATCAGAGGGAGGTTGTGCTGGCTGAACCTGGCTCACCAGACTGGCTCCTCGGTACTGACCACAGATAAGGCGAGGCCACTAAGAGGCGCTGTGTCTTTACCACCCAATGAAAGAACATAAGGAGTCTGCAATAGGCCGGTTGGCCTGTGCATGGCAGCTCCTGTCGAGAGTTACTACCACTCTCTATCATCAATGAATCTATCCAGCCTCCTTTTGAAATTTTCCAGAGTTCCAGCACTTACTACAAAGCTGCTAAGTTTGTTCCACCACCCTATTTGTGAACCAGTTTCTTCCTATCTCCCTCCTAAACCTAAACTTATTCAACTTGAATCCTTTGCTCCGAGTCCTATCCTGGTCGGATATTATGAGAACTTTATCTATATCCCCTTTAAACTGCTAGGAGAACATATGAGCACGGGGGTGGAGGATACTGCAGTGGTAGCGGGTAAACAAAGTGAAAGATTACAGGGAAATAGTGTTAGGAATGATGACAAAACTAAATTAGACAGGGAGTTTAAATCTAAACGACTAACTTAAATGTCTACTACGCGAACAGTAGAAGTATGAGAAACAAAATGGATGATATTAGGGCCTTGGTATGTACCGAAAAAATCGATATAATAGCATTCACTGAAACATGAATCAACCTAGACTCACGTGAGTTACCGGTCGAATACCAAATTGCTGGTTACAAACTGTTCCTTACTGATAGGTAGACCAGGAAAGGAGGCGGAGTATCAATCTATGTTAGGGATAATCTGAAGTGTGAAATAAATAAGGAAAATGAAAACCGAGCGGAATACAGAAGCAATTTGGATAGAATTAATCGACGGTAGGGAAAAATTAATCACAGGAGTAATATATAGACCTCCCAATCTTGATAGAGTCAATGAGCGACTTATCTGGGATGAAATGCGCAGGGCTTCCATACACAACAAAGTCTGTGTAGTAGGTGACTTTAACCTTGGCCAAATAGATTGGACTGACCTTACAGGTAACTCAGAATCAGAGGATTTTCTCGAGACGATCCAGGACTGTTTTCTAAGTCAACATATAACCGAACCCACCCGGGGTAATAATATACTCTATTTAGTTCTGTCAAACAGAGAAAACCTCATTAGCAATGTCGAGGCAGGGAACGAACTTGCAAACAGCGATCACAAAGAAATTAGATTCCAGTTAGATTTTCAGGGCAGACGTAAGGAAAATTCCACTGAAGTACCAGATTTCAGAAGGGCAAACTTTGACAGTTTAAAGAGGCAGCTGAGAGAGGGGGTGTCGCGCTTGGCCGTGAACCTGACAGATGACACCGACCTGATAACGAGATCTGAGATTGCCAAGTTCCACGTCAATTTAAATAATGAGTTACTTAATGCACAGAGGCAGAACATACCATACAAAAAACTCAGATCAGACAACAATGACCCTAAATGGATAAATAATTATTTAAAGAACATCATTGGCCAAAGGAAGGCTATAGGTAGAAGGATAAATCGTGGCGAAATTTACCTCCAGGATTGTTATAGGGTATTGGCGAGTAGGGTTAAAACCGAGATAAGGAAAGCCAAGAGGAATATTGAGGTAAGGATAGCATGGGAGGCAAAGACAAACCCCAAAGGATTCTACCAAATGTATCAAACTAAAACACGAGAAAAGATTGGACCAATACGGTCAGATACCGGCGAGCTCACTGATAACGACAGAGAAATGAGCAATAATTTGAATAAATATTTTTCAACAGTTTTCACCACCCAGAATTTACACATGATACCCGGGGCACTGACTCTATTCAGAGATAGTGAAGAAAACAAATTAAGCGAGATAGTGGTGACTAGTAACGATGTTAGTAAGCAAATAGACAAACTAAAGCCTAATAAGTCACCTGGTCCCGATGAGATATTTGCCAGAGTATTAAAGGAATGTAGGGATGAGCTTAGTATGCCCTCAGCAAAGTTGTTTAACATGTCCTTAAAAACAGGTGTAGTACCAGAATCCTGGAGGATAGCGAATGTAATACCGATTTTCACGAAGGGGGATAGATCACTATCCTCTAACTACCGCCCAATCACTCCAACATCAATAGTAGGCAAATTACTGGAAGCAATCATTTCAAACTCTATTCGAAATCACCTGGAGAAGCACCAATTGATCAATGATTCCCAGCATGGCTTCACAAGCGGACGTTCATGTCTAACTAGTCTATTAACATTCTTTTCATCAGTTTTCGAATCGGTGGACAAGGGGGACAATTATGATGTGGCATATCTCGACTTTAGCAAAGCCTTCGACAGAGTCCCCCACGAAAGACTAATTGGAAAGGTAGAAGCACATGGCATCAAAGGTAATATCCTTAAATGGACTAGGGCGTGGTTACAGGACAGGAAACAGCGAGTGAGCATTAATGGCACTAAGTCCCATTGGAGCAACATCACAAGCGGAGTTCCCCAAGGCTCAGTACTTGGACCATTATTATTTATTATACAGTATACATAAACCACATAGATATCGGCATAGACAGCAACATAAGCAAATTTGCTGATGACACTAAAATAGGACGTGTTATTAAATCTGATGAGGACTCCGCAAAACTACAGGAAGATTTAAACAAATTTTTCAAATGGTCTGAAAAATGGCAGATGAAATTCAACGTGGACAAATGTAAAGTACTCAGTATAGGAGATGTAAACAGGGAAACCAGATACCAGATGAACAACGATGCCATAGAGAAATCCGACTGCAAGAGAGATTTAGGAGTAATGATAAGTAGGAACCTTAAGCCAAGTAAACAATGTGTTTTTGCTCATAAGAAGGCTAATAAAGTACTTGGGTTCATACAAAGGAGTGTTAGTTACAAGACTAGCGAGGTCGTCCTAAAGCTATATCTTGCGCTTGTGAGACCTCACTTGGATTACGCAGTTCAATTCTGGTCACCGTATTACAGAATGGATATAGAATCCTTGGAAAGAATTCAGAGGAGAATGACAAGACTAATCCCGGGCATTAGGAACCTTGAGTATAGAGACAGGTTAAAACATCTTAATTTGCACTCCCTCGAGAGACGTAGAGCGAGGGGCGAGCTGATGGAGGTGTATAAGTGGAAGGCAGGGCTAAACAAAGGGGACATTACAAAGGTACTCAAACTATCCAACCAGGAGCGAACTCGTAACAATGGTTTTAAATTAGACAAATTTAGATTTAGGCGTGAAATAGGTAAACACTGGTTTGGAAACAGTACTGGATGAATGGAACAAGTTACCAAATATCATCACTAACTCGAATACGCTGAATAGCTTCAAACATAGGTTGGATGCTTATATGAGCAATAGGGGCTGGGTGTAAACGGGACTGCCCAGTATGGGCCAATAGGTCCGCTGCAGTTTCCTTCATTCTTATGTTCTTATGTTTTTATTCCTTTCACACACTTAAATACTTCTATCATATCTCCCCGCACTCTTCGTCTTTCTAGGGAATGCAAGTTAAGTTTCTTTAACCTATCCCGGAATCATTTTTGTCATTCTTCGCTGCACCGACTCTAGTGAATTTATATCCATTCTATAATAAGGGCACCAGAACTGAACCGCTTAATCGAGGTGCGGCCTGACTAGCGCAAGATATAGTTGCAATAAGACCTCTGCACTCTTGTTACTTACACTTCTAGATATAAAACCCAATACTCTGTTAGCCTTATTTCGAACATTAATGCACTGTTTTCTAGGCCGTAGGTCCGGGCTTACAAGTACCCCTAGGTCTCTTTCACAAGTCGACTTCTCTAGGTTGATGTTGTTAAGGCTGTATACATTATCAGTATATGTTCTTCCAATATTAAGTACACTGCACTTGCTGGTGTTGAATTTCATTTGCCATTTTTCAGACCACCCCTGCAGTTTATTTAGATCCTCCTGTAATGCATTTGCACCCTGCCCTGAGTTAATCTGCCGCCCTATTTTGGTGTCATCCGCAAACTTGCTTATGTCCGTGTGTGTGTATTTCATGAGGTGGTACAGGGGATATGTCTCGCCTTCAGATATTCGAGATAATCCTTTGCTAAATTACCATTTAATACATAAAGGGTATTAGCCATTTTGTGAATGGGGGACAGGGACTGTGGTGAAGAAAGGCTGTGCAGATTATGTAAAACTTTTACCTGTCCCGGGTAAGTCCCTTATGAAATTAACTTGTTCAAATATATTTTTTTACTTCCCCTGACAGATTTTTGGAGGAGATTTGGTTGCCCGTTTTTTATTTCTTTTTTTTTTTTTTTACGTAAAGGGTTAACTAAACATCTTTAAACATTCAACTTTACTGTGTGTATGAACTCTAAATGGTGTCAGTGGCGACGATCCTTGTCATGTGATGTCATAACTCCTGTCACCTCACCTCACACCTACAGGATGTGTGGGGTGGGGAGGTCGACACCTGTGATAAAACTTGTCATCTGAGGTCATAACTCCTGTCACCTCATGTCTAGTCTCCCAGCTTGGTTGTTCCTTTGAAATTTTGACAATTTGACACCGAATGACTGGCGGCTTAATGTAGAGATAAATTACCTGTAACAACTTCCAGTACATTCTTATAAATTATAAAAAGTAGGAGAATAAGTAACTCTGCAAGATACCAATTATGTACTTTCTTCAGTTCCCATGGATTGTCGTACAACACCACCACCAGCTCCCCCACCACCACCACCATCATTGCACCTCCAGTTGACTCCAATGATTGTGGTCTGTTCACCTTTAGGCCCGCCTTCCTTCAGAGATTAGCCAACATCAAGGTAAGGGTCATCCAAAAAAAATGACGACCTTAATTTTTAACATTTAGAAATTTTATCGAGAGTTTGTCAGCCTTATTTTGGACACTGTCTATACGTATTATTAAACTACAGAATGTTGAACTACGCCAGCCTTACTGTTTACTTACCATTGTTATTTACCTGCACTGTCTTGGCACACAGTGTACTCCCATGGCCTATCTGCACTGTATACTGTACCTACATTGTCTATAGTCATGCTGCACTGTATAACTGCATAGTTTATAAACATACTTATCCAAATGTAAACCTGTATGACAACTTTATGGAACAATGATAATACTGTACAGTACTTTTAATAATAATATTAATTGTTATTGTTATTATTGTAATTATTATTATTATTATTATTATTATTATTATTATTATTATTATTATTATTATTTAAAGAATAAAATATAAAATGCTAAGTATACTTGGTTCACTCATATAAACTATTGGGTTATGGATATTAATTACTTGACATAAGACATTCACTATTTGATTGTAAAGATAATGTTTTTTATCAAGGGACTGACATTCATGCTTAGTGTAGCTATCTTGGGAAAGACGGAGACATATTACTGTATTGTACTTTCTTTTGGTACTTGTAAATGACTGTGTGTGTGTGTGCGTGCGTGCATGTGTGTAGGAGAAACAATTGATATTCCACTTCTTATAACTGAATTGAACTGAAGCAGTTTTATTATTATCTACAAAAATATTTGGCTAACCATCATATTCTGGGTTTTTAACGACCTCTTGTCTCATCGACCCTGTAATGAACTAGTCAGGAATATTTATCACTGACTAAGAGGTATTTTTATAAGTACAGTATTGAGTCATTAATTATTAAAGGTTTTGTTAAAACACTTAGCTAACACATCTTTTTATGTACCTAGTATTGTACTGTACTCTGTTTTACACACACACTCTCTCTCTCCTCAAAACTTATCCATTTGTTATTGTTTTTTCTAATGATTATTGTACTTGATTTGTCAACAGATTTTTGTATTTTTGCTGTCTGTTCTGGTAACTGTCCAACAAGCTCTAGCATCGGGGTACCTCAACTCTGTAATCACCACCATAGAAAAGCGATATGAGATCCCTTCATCGCTTACTGGAGTCATATCCTCAATGTACGAGATTGGAAATGTAATTACTGTCATTTTTGTCTCGTATCTGGGGTCCAAGAGACGAATACCTGTTTGGATAGGAGTTGGTAAGTTTGGCTTCATATAATGTTTTGTATAATGTACTGTACAGTAGTACTTGTATTCTTACATTGTATACTGATTGAATCTGACAATAGCAAATTAATGTATGTTCATGTTTGTTGATATACTGAACATTGTTTATTATTTGCTGTTGGAAATCTAAAGTTGTTTTTTTTTCAGGTTGTTGTGTAATGGGCATTGGGTCTATGCTCTTCATAATGCCTCAACTTATAGCTGATCGCTGGTCTATTGAATTGGAAACTATTAATAACACAGACTCTAGCAACAATATTTGTCGAAATGCCCGGGTGCGAGATGATACATCTGAGCGGCTCTCAGAGTATGGCTTTGGAACTCTTCCAGGTGAGAAGCAAATATTTTTTTTTTAGAATACTGTATTGATTATATTTAAATGAATTTATCTATTAAATAGTTTATATTGTACTAACTATTGTAGATACTTTTTTCTTTATCATCAAAATAATGCTGAGGAGACATACTTGTTGCCAGTTTTCAGGAAATATATTTATCTCTAAAAGGTTTAACATACAGTGCAGTATAATTGATTTTGTCTTAAAATAATAAAGTAACTTGAATCTTTCAGTTACAAAAATAATTTTTATTTCAATGTGTTGAATATTTCTATCAATATTTTTGTAAATGTTGTGAATGTAATGTATTTTTGCCATCTCAATTTTATTGGGACAGTTTTGTTGAGAAAATTAATCTACAGTGTTCATATTTTCAATGAATGGAATGAATTTAGGTAAATGTAGATCAGATGTTTTTTAGGGATTAGCCAACCCAGGCACAGGTCACCGACCCACATCAGGGCCTGGGGGTAAAAAATAAATTAACAAAAAATAAATACAGAAATGGAAAAAACTAAACAAATCAAGAGTGAGAAACGATATATATGTTGTGTTGTCAAAGAAAGAGAAACAATTGAGACTTGCAATTGTGTGTAAATGCGGCAGAAAGTCAGATCAGCAACCTGAGACTTGGTCACAAATTTGTGATGCCATATGGCAGTAGGGTCTACCATTAGACAACACATTATGCTTCCAATATCTTCCCAGCAATAGTTATTTGACATTTCCTGATTTTCGTTCTTTTTATCAGTTGTTTTTGTACTGTACTGTACTTACATTAGTATTAACAGCGATGATATAGTTCAGCCAGTAAGGTGGGTTAGGTGAGTTAATCTGACGTTTGTCTTCAATACCCACAAAATGTTCTATACTACTGAGGGTATACACAAACACTTGTTCTCTTAAAAGTAGGTTCTATTCTCGTACGGGAGATATATACATGGGGGGACCCAGAAGCACGCTTCCACACCACAAGGACTCTGTCTTCGCTCTCTCTATGTATTACTGCGCTCTGGGATGTACAGATGCCAGCATTCACAAGCTGAATACATAAAGTATAAATATGATAATTTATATACATAATATGGTGCACAATAAATGGGAATATTACATAGAATTAATACATGTTCTGTAATACTTTACTATACATAATTAATGGAGTAATATAAGAGTAATATAATAATACACAGCTGAAGGTACTACTTTGTGTCCATATCATACAGTTAATAGTTTACCTTCCTTGCTCGCCTTAATTACTGGAACAGTACAGTTGGCCAAATAAGTTCACAGAGACCCAACAAGTACAGGTATAAGGTAGGGCAAAAGATCTAATAATGGTGTAAAATTCTCGCTTCCAAGCACACGATATAGTGTATCCCTACCCCCTCTTACCACTCATCTCCCCTTACCTTCACATTATTACCAAATTGGTTACCCTACCCTATACTGTTTGGGTGTCTCAAATTTTTTGGCCAACTGTACAACATTATGTGCTTATGTAATAAGATTAAAGATGTTTGTTGCATCTTCAAGTTCAGTACACAGGCTCTATGTGAATGTATTACTGTATGTACAGTGTAAGGGCCTTTTTTTGTGCTACTGTATAAATTTTTTTTGTGGGAGATAAATTTAATCCTATGCAGTTGAACATGTAAAATTATGTTCTGTACTGCTCCCCACCTCTATGTACAGTTGCTCCTTGTCAAGTGTGAGTCTGTACAGCTTGAATATACCTACTGTGCAAAATTATTTGACACTAATCTGCCCATTATAAATATAATCCGACATACATTGAGTTGATGTAAGTTACCAGAGGGCCCCATACAACCTGTCACCCACATCCAACCCCCTCCTATGGAGCAGTACTGTACTGTAGTCTGATTCCATAAATTTATGTTTAGATATCTAAATATCTGATAAGTTTGAGCAATATTGAAAATAGTGATGGACTGTACTGTTCTGTACTGTACTGTAGTAAGAAATACAGTATATTAATATACCTGTATTCTTAATGTAATATGGTGGAGGAAATATTCTATGGTGTGGTTGTACACTACATGTCTAAGGCAAACAAAAAACTTGGGTTACCAATAAGTAGTAGATTTATATTTAAATGTAATGCAGCATATTAATAATCTGGTTGGATAATTTTCATTAAAAATAATTTATACAATACTTTTTAATACAATCATGCAGACTGAAAGAACATTACATATGCTAAGAGTCGAGCGTGTCTCCTTTTGTGGGTGTAAATCTCTGTCGCTGTTTCATAACAATTCAAATTAGAGGGATCACAGATGACTCGACCAGGAAATTACAATTAATAAATGTTCACTTGCCTCAGCTTGACACTATGTCGACCATAAATAGTGTGTATGCAGTTGATTCCTTCAATATAAAATCCTTGTGTTTGCTCTCATAAATAATGAATTTATAACTTTTTAATTCAAGTCTTTAATTTGTATAAGTACTGTATAGTTAACACTTGTTTATGTGTCTTTGTATTGTTTATTATTCTTAATTTGTTATACAGTACTAAGATCTGAGGTCTACAACATGAACTACAAAGTTACCAAACAGTGTTCAAAATATGTTTAAGTTTTACTTGTTGATTTGGCTTGAGTAAGTGCAGCAGCTGTCATATACTTGCGTAAGAAGAGTATATTGGGATAAGGATGGGTGTCTCAACCATGGGAGATGTAGAAAACGATCAGTAAAAGATTGACCAAAGTGGAAATACAGTAGGGGAAAACAGTAAACATTGAAGAGTTAGGAATTTTCTGGTGTAAAAGATTCTGTCATTTGATACTATGTACTGTACCAACTCATCATATAAGTATCTGAAAGATTACTAGCAGTGGAAAAAGAATATCTTGAATTATTTTCCTAAATAATTCAGTCTCTTCGGTTAACAGTATATAAGCAGTACTTACCATTGAAGCCTATGCTATGATATAATTCTATGTACTGTTCAGTATTAGGTTTCTAAAGATTATTTCCTGTTCCTCATGGTTATGTTGTCTAATAGTAATTTCTTTTATTTCAGACCTCTCAAAAGGTGTGCCTTTAGGATCGCATAATAGCATTCAATACGGCAAACCGGATAATTGCATCAAGGGGTCTCGGAGCAATGTAATGCCTGTAATGTTCTTTATGCTGGCCCAGCTGCTGCTAGGTGCAGGAGGCTCGCCACTCTTCACCCTTGGAACAACTTATATTGATGATCATGTAAAGAGAGAGAGCTCCTCAATGTATATAGGTATGATTTAGCCTTTAATTATAATTATATACTGTACTGTACTGTAGTGTAGTCATCTTTGTACTGTACTCTATGGTGCATATCTCTGTCTCTGTCCCTGTTTACTACTGTACTGTATATTCATTTCTCATATATGTTATGTTCAATAATACAGTACAGTATTTAGTATCATCAGTATTATGTAATAGAATTTGTATTGTCATACAATTTTAGTAATTAATATATATTAGATAGGTAAGAGAAATATTACTTTTATTTTCAGATATTGACGCCTTTTGACCCTCGATAAATGTAACTTAGTTTTGAGTTATTTGCATTGTTATGTATGTCCCATATCTAACTGAATATATATATATACCCTGCACTTTATACTGTACCTGTATGGTGGCTTTCTTGTTTGATGATGATTCCGTATTATACTACAGCAATAATGATAATAATTTACGCTTAACTCATTTATAGGTATTATCTACACCATGGTGGCCTTTGGACCTGTGCTGGGATTCTTACTTGGAGCATATCTCATCTCCTATTATGTTGACACACTGTTTGTTGATACATCAGTAATGCAAGCAGGTGGGATGTTTTAATTATGTCTATTTTGACTGCATTAGTTTATTTAACTTGAAAAAATTGTTTAAACATTTTAAGTTTTCAACTTTACATTTATAGTAAACTTTTGATTAATATGTGTAATCATTATTATATTTGGCCATTGATATAACTACAATTTACAAATAAAATTTATGAAGTTTTGTTTTGCTGAAGTACATTCTCCTGTTTGTTATCAATTCATAAAAGATAGATATCTTCTGTTAATTAAATAAAGTATGTGTATCACTGCCCCTTAATTTTATATTACTAATGAACTTCTTTACAATTACTAGTTAAAAATCCTGTTTCTGACCATAAGCTATTAAAGTTGGGTTATTATTGTATTATTAATTACATGAATTGGTTCATGTAAGGCTGTTTTTAAATAATTTATTTTCTTAAGTTAATTTTCTCTGCCAACAGATCATAAACATCCACGATGGATTGGGATGTGGTGGGGCGGGTTCCTCTTGTGTGGTCTTCTGCTCATATTTATTTCCATTCCATTTTTTATGTTTCCTAAGACACTTAAGGTGAGAATGATGTGAACAGTCTCGGGTATTTTTCTTTCAAGCTTAATATTAAAATTTTTGTCGCACAATAGTTTAGTTTTTTTTTAGTTTAACAAATTTATTGGCAGAGCTTGTAGTACAGTTTGCCTATTCTGAGTAATTCAGTCAGGTCTTGACACTGAGGGTGGTATCACTTCTCACTGTCACGCAGGACAGAGGTTCACACACAAAGAAATACATCATATTCATTAACAACTATAAATGTATATAGGTCAGATTCATATGGGTAATGTCACTGTTCACTGCCATGCAGGACAGAGGTTCGTACACAAAGAGTTGCATCATATTCATTGACAGTACATATACATCTATGTAAACACACACACACACATATACATACATATATATACGTATATACATACACATATACATGTACATATACATGCACACACGCACACATACATACATATACGTCGGTCAGATTCATGTGGGTAATGTCACTTTCCACTGCCATACAGGACAGAGGTTCGTACAATAGACTCTCGATATATCAACGAGAACGAGATGTGATTAAGAATTTATGTTTGTGAAATAGCAGTAGCTAGATACTGTACCAGATAAAACTGATCTTATGTTATATGAGAAGATATCCAGATGGAAGATATTCTGAGAATTTGATACTGTATTTTGAGGAGGTTGTGCATGTGCCACAATTCTTCATAGTAAAAATAGCTTTGAGTACAAACAAAGACACAAGAATACATTAGGTATGGATCAATCATCTGCACCCCACAAATGGAAAAGGACAAGAAATGGACAAATTCCAACAATTATTGTAGCTTCATATATTACACTAAGATACTTATATCATTTACCTCACAGCTATGCTTCACATCAAGTTACAAAGATTGAAATGAATCCCTTCTTTAAATTTTATATTATGTATACTAGACAAGGTGTCAAACTTGTGAATTTGCTCAGATGCTTGCAAACATACCAATTATGATAACTGCATGCAAATTTACCCTAACATTTTTATATTTATTTAGTTCACTTTTTCTTTCAATGATAGAAAGAAAAGGAGAAGGTAAGAATGGAAGAGAAGACAAAAGAATTTCAGAAGGGTCATCGCCGCACAAAATCCCAGACGTCAACATGCTCACGTCACTCCACTCTCTCCACCAAGCGAGTGTATGGCAAAGATGTACGAGGTAAGTGGATGTGACCTGTGTAGTGTACAGTACTGAGCCATGAAATTGAATTGTATATTACACATCATTTTAAAAAAGTACAAGTTTGAGCTGCCAGTTTATGTACAGTATACTGTATATGACCTGACCAAAGAGAAGGGTCACAAATATTTGTCGAGCAGCAGAGCTAAACCAAGGCTTGAGTTGAGGCAACTAACTGGTTGTTAATTTTTTCATTAAATCATTCCGGTGTTTAAATATTCGGTGAATTCATTCAGGTTCATATTACTTCTTCAGTTTTGTGCATAAACTTCATAAATATGTTCAGTGATAATGTATTGCAGTGACTATCATCACAAGGCCAGAGGGAGGTAAGGGGCTCTAATAGTAGCTATGAAGTACTACTGTAAATGGAAATACAGGTAAACCCCTATTAATGAATGTCTGGTTAACGAAAGTTCACTACAAGGACAGGTTTACTGAATTTCATATCATAAAAATTATCCACTCAGCCACAATATCACAACTTTGCTAAAAACATGTGTAGGGTTATGTATGCATTGTGGCTTATACTTATATTCCATTAAAGTAAGTTATATTATAGCCACTGTAATATGATGTACAAAGTGTAAAAACATACTCTTTATAATATCTTTCACAATTTCAGATATTCCACTATCGATGCTTAAGCTGTTGGTTAATCCCATATATGTCATGACATGCTTAGGAGCATGTATGGAACTCATGATAGTCTCTGGTTTCATTGTGTTCCTGCCCAAGTACCTGGAGACACAGTTCTTTCTCTCAAATGTTCAGGCCTCCATCTTTACTGGTAAGTAAACTTTTAAGGTGCATTTAAATGAGGTGAAATAAATTTTACCTGTTTGTCTAGGATACTATTTGTAATTGCTTTGAAATATCATTAGTAACATTTAGAAAAAAATTGGTACAGAACAGTTCACATTTATTAAGGTTTATCAGTGAAGAACAAAGAAAAGGACTAGTTACAGTGTGTTGTTATTTTATTCTACCTGTTCTTCACCACCAATATTGGAAGTGGCTTTTGAATTCCGCGCACAGCGAAAATGAGCTACCATATTTATTACTATAATAAACAATAAAGTCAATAGATGCATATCATAAAATACAATAGCACATATTTTATTGTAAAAAAATTGCTCCTTCCACACTCAAACCATCCTCTGGGTGATGTGACACAGTTCAGGCAGTTAACCAGCAGACTCACAGATGTGTGTCTGCTGCACTGGCTGTGGCATAATCACGCAGTTATAGCCATGTAACTCACTGCCTCAACACGCATTCACTTCCCACATACACACACTGATGCTCTTAAATTTTCTTATTTTATAGTTTATTATATTTTCTTTATGTCTAAGCCACATTAAAGTACGGTATTGTAATGATTTTTCAAGAACTTTTACAGTTTCATTACAAGTAAAAATAAAAGCGGCGACTGGATTGGTGAGTCAGTGAAGTTGTTACAGTATAACCCACCACCTCCACACACGTTCACTTCTTACACATACACACCTATGCTCTTCATTTTTCTTATTTAGTAGTTTTGTATTATGTTTTCTTTATTTCCAAGCCTCATAATTTACACAGAGTGGAATAAGTATTAAATAAGTCTTATTTTCTAAGGCTTGAATTTATGAAGTGAGCCTGTAGCACTGTGCATTGCAGGATTTATTGGGGGATCTTAAGAGTGAGTTTCAACTTACAGGAAAAACTCTTTATCAGCACCTCTGAATTTCCATAGATGCCAGATAACAGATTCTACTGTATGTAAACCCACATATATATATATATATATATATATATATATATATATATATATATATATATATATATATATATATATATATATATATATATATATATATATATATATATATATATATATATATATCTATCTATCTATCTATCTATCTATCTATCTATCTATCTATCTATCTATCTATCTATCTATCTATCTATCTCTATCTATCTATCTATCTATCTATCCTATCTATCTATCTATCTATCTATCTATCTATCTATCTATCTATCTATCTATCTATCTATCTATCTATCTATCTATCTATCTATCTATATATATATATATATATATATATATATATATATATATATATATATATATATATATCATGTAAATCCACAATGAAAACGTGGATAAGATAAATCTTGATAAAATCACGGAAAATGGAAACAGTACCTTAGCTTTCGTCTTTATTCAAGACATCTTCAGAGGCAACTGGATTACATGGACAGAGAGAGGCTTAAATATACAGGGTGACCTAAAAACATGAGGTCAGGTTCATAATGATGACATCCACATAAATTTATTTGTCAGTGGCCCAAGGTTAAAAATGCTTTGAAAACCTTTGATCTTGATGTATGACAGTTATTTTGTGGGTCCCTTTTTTCTGACCTGACCTGTCTAGTCACGTCACCACCCTTCTCTTAAGCTCCTCTACGGTTGTGTTGGTGTGGGGATTAGTGGATGTCATCATTATGACCTGACCTCATGTTTTTAGGTCACCCTGTATATTTAAGCCTCTCTCTGTCCATGTAATCCAGTTGCCTCTGAATATATATATATATATATATATATATATATATATATATATATATATATATATATATATACAGTCGACCCTCGTTAATTCGACCCCTTTAATCCGGATTTCTGATAATTCGGACAAAATCTGATTTTTTTTTAGATTTGTAGGAATATTACCTACGCGGACCTTAAGCTAAAATGCTGGTCCACCCACTGCTGGGATAAAACACCAGCGTCTTTTTGGTTAAATGTAACATCTCCACCACTAGTGTGGGGGGGGATGCAACTTTTAGCTTCAGACATGAAAAATATTTACCATTTACTGCCAGTAAACAATGGAAACGTAAAATATGTACCAATTAGTAATGAAAAGTTGTGCAGTTCCTTCAGCAAATGAAGCTCACCAACTTACAATAGGCTAAATTACCTTACAACGTGTTTTCAGTAGTCTATGTTGAAGTTCTTAGCACAGGCTAACTTATCATATCATATACGGTATCACAGTTCTCATTGATCTACAAAAAATACCAGTAATAAAAACCTTTTTAATATTTCACACTTAATATAATACCCGGTAATCTACTTCAACCTCCTATTGTTTACAATGACGCATGACGCACCACCAGCTGTTGAGTATCAGCTAGACGGCACACGTGTTTTTCGAATCGCTTTCAATTAAAAAACTGTTACATCACATGTATATTTTACCTTAACTGTGCCTGAATGAATATATTCTCGGAAATAAATAGTAGTTTTGCTGAAACGTGATGTATTTTAATGTAAAATAGGATAAAATACATGACGAAAACAAAAGATTTTACCGAACCTTCCGATGTTCAAGAGAAGTTACTCGTTTTTTTAATAGTTTTTGGTCAAAATACTGTTATATTGCAATGGTATTCTATTCATACTGTGCTTGATATAATGCATTCACAGAAATGTAATATTTTTGCTGAAATGACGTACGTATTACAGTGGAAAGTGGGATAAAATCGTGACGAAAACAATGACTTTCGCTTTCGTTCGTTCAAAAGATGTTACCGTAATCGCTTTTCGATTGGTTTTCAGTTAAAAAACTGTTGTATTACAATAATATTCTATCCTAATTGACTTGAATAAATACTACGATACCATATTTCTGAATATTTTCATTAAAATCCATCCAAATCATTTTCCTTGTCATCGTCTGCAGCACCAAACAGCTTCTCCCAGTCCTCTCCTTGAACAGGGCTAGAGGGTACGTGTTTTTCGAATCGTTTTCAGATAAAAAGCTGTCACATCACATGTATATTTTACCTAAACTGCGCCCGAATGAATATATTCTCGGAAATAAACAGTAGTTTTGCTGAAACGTGATGTATTTCAATGTAAAATAGGATAAAATACATGATGAAAACAAAAGACTTTACCTAAGCTTCCGATGTTCTTGAGATGTTATTCGTTTTTTTACTAGTTTTCGGTTAAAATACTGTTATATTACAATGATATTCTATTCATACTGTGCTTGATATAATACATTCACGGAAATGTAATATTTTTGCTGAAATGGCGTACGTATTACAGTGGAAAGTGGAATAAAATCGTGACGAAAACAATTACTTTGAAATATAATGCAATATTAACCCCTAAATCGGTTAATTCGGACAATCGGCTAACACGGACACCCTTCCCCCCCTATTAGTCCGAATTAACGAGGGTCGACTGTATATACAGTATATATATATATTTGATAATAATAAAGAAAATCTCTATTTAGGTGGCATAGCGATACCTGGTGCTTGTATTGGTATCTTCCTGGGAGGCTACCTACTGAAACGGTTTAGCTTACGCCCAAAAGGTGCCATCCAGATGGTTATGGTCTTCAACCTAATTGGTCTAAGCTTTTATGGTCTCCTTTTTGTCCTGGGGTGTGACAACGTGAAGATGGCTGGCACCACATCCCCATACTTCAACACGTAAGTAATTCTATTGTCTAAATTGTAATACTGTAGTATTTGTGCTTGATCTCTTACTTAAGTTGGGCATTTGTTACTTTGTTCATTAATATATTTTATATCCATTCCATAGGAAAAATTTTACAATAGCATTTCATGTTTTTTTTTTGTGTGAAATCTCAGATTACTGGAGACTAAAAGACTTGCACTTAAAATTGATCTTTTTCGAGATTTTATTTCCACTCCTTGCTTTAGTGGATGTAATTGGGAGTTTTTTTAAGGGAATTTGTTACAGAAATTATAAGAGATTATTGAATGAACACAAAGCAGTACTAAATAACTGCAATTGTTTTTATCAAAAAGTCTCAGCTACAACTCCCTTAATACTTTGAAACCAGCATGTAGAAAAGGCTGCTTATTCAACCTTTGCATTCAATGGAATTTTGTAAAACTTTTATAGGCTTTGGGTTGTAGTATTGCTTAGTACAAATTAATGTCCAATACACAATAGATTTTCTTCCATGAAACATAATGCTGACATTTCTGTTGCACAAAATTCTGAATTATGTCCCACTGTGAAAGAAACAGATACTGTATAGTATATAGGGGTATTTAATGCTCATTCTACTTGATTTCTTTTATGAGCCTAATTTTTGTGTCGGAACAAGTTTTAAGGTTAAATGTAGTATATTAGATAAGTTTTTCTAAATTTATTTGAGGAGAAATATTATACAAGTTGACCCTCTCTTATATGGTAACCTTGGGATCAAGGCCATGCCTAAAGTCCTGTGCTAGGCAGTTTTGCTTAACCTGGTTATATGGTAACGTCAGGGACACACACCCACGAACACATATGCTGGAATTACCAGGCCCACAGTTTAAGCATTTCATGCCTAGATTGCCATGTTGCCAGCACTGTCAGTAACAAACCAGTGAATACCATTAATAATTATTTTCACTTAAATTGAATGAAGTGATATCTCCATTAGCCAGAACAATTTGTGCAGAGCACTTCTGGGAATGAGAGATTTTTGGGTAACGAGATGACTCTTTCAAAGCCGGAAAAAAATCCCTCTTTCCCAGAATTTTCCAGGTACTGTAGTGGAAAAAATCCTTCATCCTCAGAGTTTTCCGGAATAATAATCATTGAACCGTAGTCTCCCAACCTGGTGTTGTTCTTCTAGCCTTTTCTTGACAGCAGAGACCCTGTGGTTGATCCCATTGCCATGGAGTCGTTGCCTAAATGTCCTAGCCAAGACCTCCAAGTGCAGCCGCACCGTCGTGGACACCGCATTGGTGAAAGGATGGTTACGAATGTCTGCCACAATCCTCATGTTGTCTGCTGCTCTGGTCAGTATAGGCCATCCTAATCTGGGAAGAGCTTTTAGATTACCAGACTCTTCAAGCTGCTGTAACCAACACCGTACTGTCGATCTCGAGACTCCCATCAACCTTGCGATCTCGCTGAAACTTCCCGCATTACTCATGCCGACGAATTGCCCTCTCTGGGAGATATTGTGGTGTTGGTCTCCCATGGCTGTGGTTGGTGGAATGATCGAACGGTTGCTGTATGACCACGTCGTGACCTCGGAAAAGTTGAAGGTTGTGGTGAATGGCATTAATTGCCCCTAGAATCACCATTTCCATATTACAATAAACTATCTTGTGCAATGAGACTGGCATCATTAATAACATCAGTAAAAGCAATAGGAGAGGGACAATATACCCACCACCACCAGTCTCCATTATGAACCTTCTCTACTATGAATATAGTGTTTTATATAATATCTGTCCTCCTGGCACTCACATAGGAGAAATATTATCACTGATAAGTGGTGTAGTTCAAAGTGTAGGAGCACATAGACATGCTCTAGAATGGATTGTTCCCATAATTTGTGTGTATAGCAGACAGTGTGGGTTTTTTATTGAAAGTTTGTTTGTAGCATATAAGTAATTTATTTCTCCTAAGACATAACATTTTAGATTCCTTATGCACGACAGCATGGTTATTTTACATGGATACAAGTATTGCATTAAAACTTGAAAGTATTGTGTGGTAGACATGAATGATCGAGGTATTATATTATAACAACTGACTGACGGTGACCAATATCACTGATAATGTTATATTAAAAGTACGGTATAAAATATAGTCTTTGCCATTTTACCATTGATCATGATAAATTGTGTAGTTCATAGAGGATATGCACATAGAGACACCATATAATGGATTGTTCACATAATCGAGGTTTCTGGCACACGCCATGTTTGTCCGTGCGTGCATGTCTCCGACGTTACCACTTACCGAGTAACTGGGTTAGCCAAACTGCCCGGCGCAAGATTTTTGACCGGGACTGTACATTAGTGTAAGCTTCTAGAGTATCATCTATTACAGTGGTGGGAACTAATATTTTACTCTTTCTCCTTCAGTTCAATGGCACATTCAGTAGCAAACAATCCTGGCCGACTGGACAATGGAGGATCATTCCAAGTAAACTTAACAGCTTGGTGCAATACTGGGTGCTCGTGTACCTCATCACTTGTGGAACCTGTGTGTGGCAACAATGGACTAACCTACTTTTCACCTTGTCATGCTGGATGCACATCATATTCTCCACAGCACAAATTTGCTAACTGCACATGTAAGTTACAGGTGTTTGTTAATGAAATGTTTTAATGGAGCTGCAGTACTGTGACCTGTAGACATTTTGAAGGGTATTTCGTCCTTGCAATCACATGTCATTAGTAGTGAAACTTTTTGCCAACTTTATTGTCACACATTGGGTGCTCACACAATAAATAGTTTGTATTATATTTATACTCTTGTTATATTGAATAAGACTGAGGACATTTTTTGCATGATACAAGTCCAGTACGCCTGGATAATTCACGAATTTTTATTTTGCGGTTCTCTATTATTCGCGGATGACACCCTGGATGTACCCAAGAATGTAAGGGTAGTTTTAAAGTTGCTGGCAGTTTTACAAGGAGCCATTCATTCTAGAGACAGTAATTTCCTTTACCTGTATTGTATACAGGTGCTCCCCCCTACTTACGAGTGGGTTAGGGACCCAAATCCAGGTCGTAAGTCGGAATGGTCGTAAATCCGACATAGATTAAAAAAGAAATAAATAAATAAAATAAAAAAAAAAAAGAAAAAAAAACATAAAATCTACAATGAAATACAGTACAGTAAAAGTAATAAATAATGAGGAATGGATTCAGTGTGACTGAGCACTTACCTTTAATGTAGTCAGCTGAATGCACATGGGGCCCCCATAATTTTCTATTTACAAGTATACATGGAGACTATATTAATTGGATGAAGCAGAGGAGGAGACAGGGCTGGGTGGGTCATCAATGTCGCTTTCTTCAGACAGGTTTATGTACTGTTCAAACTTGCTGGTTTAAGGTATTGGATCATCTTGAGGGAGTGAAGAGGCAGCACTGGTGGGGCGTGAGGAGACATCACTGGGGGACTTCTTAAAATAGATGTCCAATTTAGACTGCACAGTTTGCTTTTTCTTTTCATTATAAATTTCTCTGTAGCAAGCAAGTGCATCTTGGATCATTCTGTCAACTTTGGCATAATGCTCATAATTTTGATCCATGCCATCAAACATTTGCATTCCTTTATTAATTGTAGCAAATGCCTCTGCCATTTGCTTCACTGAAAACTTTTTGGGGGGGATACAGGTCCTTGTACATTTAGACTGGCTTCTTCCTCTGCATCTTTGTGTGCTTCCAGTTCGATGAGATCTTCGTTACTGAGCTCTTCTGCTACACTTTCAACCAACTGTTCAACATCTTCATTATCAATTTCTAACTCCAGCTGTTTACCTAACTCCATTATCTTGTTACTAATATCCGAAATAACTTCATTTTCATTAAATCCTCTAAAACTGTTCACATATCTTTTCAGGATTTTCTTCCATATTCAATTCAGGCAATGTTTTGTAATCTGATCCCATGCTGCACTAATGTTCTTTATACACGACAAAACATTGTACTCCTTCCAAGACTCTCTTGAGCGTTTCCTCACCTTCAGTAGCAGCAACAGCCTGAGCGAAGGTCGTACGTAAATAATACGCTTTAAAGGCAGCAATAGCACCTTGATCCATGGGTTGGATGACTTAGGTAGTGTTAGGTGGAATGTACACTACCTTAACATCAGGGTGCATGTTGTCCAGGTGTGGTGGGTGTCCCGGAGCATTATCCAAAATCAGCAAAATCTTTAATGGAATCCGTTGTTGCAGACAATACCCCTTGGCTCGAGGAATGAAACAATTCATGAACCAATCCTCAAACAGTACAATGGTCATCCAGGCTTTCTTCTTACTGCGATAAAACACTGGCAGTGTGTGCTTGCTGACATGTTTAAAAGCCCTGGGGTTCTCTGAATGATAGATCATGAAGGGCTTTAGCTTGAAACCAGCAACATTCCCCCCCAACAGAAGTGTAATTCTGTCCTTGAATCCTGGCATTATTTTTGCCTCTTTGTGGATGTATGTCTGCTCAGGCATGCTCTTCCACAATAATCCAATCTCATCCACATTGAGCTGCCTCTCCACTCACCTTAACATTGTGTAAACTGGAGCATTTTTTAAATCTGTTAAACCACCCATGACTTGCTGTAAAGGTTTGCTCACATTCATCTCCTGCCTGCTCCTTCAGGCTTTGGAACAGGCTTCTTGCTTTAGCCTGTAAGGTTAGAAGGCTTAAGGGTACTCGCTTTTGTATCTGGTCTTCTATCCATATCACCAATAATTTTTCCATATCGTGAATAGGACCTTGTCTTTTCTTCGAAATTATAGTTCCCTTTATTGGTGTTGTTCCTTTCACTACATCACGAATACGTTCCTTGTCCTTCAGAATAGTGGATATGGTCGAGTGCGAGAAACCTAGGTCGCGTGAGATTGTTGCTACAGTTTTACCATTCTCATACTGCATTATCATCTTCATTTTCATCTCAACAGTAATTGCCTGTCTCCTTTTCTTCGGAGCACCACCAGCACTCTCACTTGTACTCTTTCCAGTCAATATAAAGTCAATTAAATACGTTAATAACTTAAGTACACAGCGCGATCAGTATAGGATACGATAGCCAAGCACCAACTAAGCGTTGTACTGAATGAGTGTAACCACGCGGTGACCCATGCCAGCCACGCTCTCGCTCGGGACGGAAACGTTTCGGTATAGAAAATGCACGCGTCATTTGAAAAATTTTGGTCACGACTGCGGCGGTCGTATGACCCGACGGTCATACGGTCAGAGCAGGTCGTAAGTGCGATTTGACGTAAGTTGAGTTAGTCGTAAGTCGGGTTATCACCCAAAATATTAGTGTGCATATATGTTTGAATTGTAAATATGATCCAAGTAGTATGTTTATAAGAAATGTCAGAGTTTGTCCTTGTACCTATCATCCAACTCATCAAAATCAAAGCTATCCTACAAATAAGAAACATTTTCTCCTTTCTTCCATGGCAGCATGAAGCTCTCAAACAGGGTTGACCAACACCTCAAGTAAAACCGATATACACTGTATACTGTACAGTATAAGGTGGAAATACAGTACACCTGTACTTCGTATATGGCAACACATAGTGGGATATCTATGGACACCATTACCACTAAAATTTAATGGTCCAATGCCTTGCACAGCCGTAAGAAACTTCATATTTACTGCTGTAGTGGATAGAACAGAATTGAGACACCATACATTTACCAGCTGCAGCAAAAGGATTAAATTACCTTTCCATCATCAGAACACAAAAGTATCAAAAATAAATATATTAATGTATTATATTTCAAAATTTTCTGATTCTAGATTTATATCAACAAATTATTTTACAGTATATAGAGACAGTACCTGAGTTACGAACTCCCACACATACAAACGGGATCCCAATACAGTAAACCCCCGCTTTACGCGGTTTCACTTTACGCGTTTCCACGTTTACGCGGTACCCTGCCGAAACCGGAATGCTCACTTTCCGCGGTGTGTGTACCCTTTTACGCGGAGAGCGGCGCGAGCAGGGTGCGCACAAGGTCGCCCAGTCATCAAAACATTACCGAGTTCTTCACCCGCCACCCACCACAGCCGGCCCAAGTCAGTGATAATGATAGTGAGGATATGGACTTATATGGACTTTGAGGGGTTTGACAAAGAGGCCCTGCAAGCCTCTGTGGTGGATAAGTGATACAATTGATACAAGTGATACAGGTGAGGGCCAATAATCTGCCCTCTGCCTCGGAACCAACCCCCCATCCCCGTGTGCCCAGTCATCTTTTCTACTAATTAATATAAGTGTTAAAAAATCTAATATTATTGATATTTCTCTTAATTATTAATTGTGAGTGCATACCATCATAAAATTAAGAAGTTATTTTTACTACAACGTAGGTATTGTGTCTGAAAAAGTGGAGTTTGGGGGTCGGCCCGGTCTCTATTTCAATTAATCCCATATGTTATGTTGTTCACTTTACGCGTTTCTCACTTTACACGGGCCGCCGTGGGTTCAATTGACCGCGTAAAGTGAGGGTTCACTGTACTGTACAATATACTATTCATCAAAAAAATCTGAAATGAAAATCCTGTTTTTTGCATCTTTCATCACTTAATATTGTTTAACATCACTTTATTTACAGGATTTTCATTATTTGTTATATATGGGATAAAAATGTTTTGTATGGGCAGGGTTGTAACTAAAATCCACCCCCCCCCCCTTTATTTTTATTATTCCAGTTTAATTATCAACCTTTCATGGGGTGTCAAAAGCCTTACAAACAGGGTCCAGGAACATAACACTATTTGCGTCACTACACAGGCCATGGGGAGCAAAATGTCTCTCTTGACGCCGAGTGTTCACAATGGTCAGACCACTCACGCGGGGATCCGGTGCATAAGATATTATCTTTCCACACTCATTTCCAGCCATTCCATATCATTTATACAACTACAGTATTTTGTTCTTTTATCACTTAGTCAGATACTTTATCTTTTTAACTCAATGAAAAGAGGAAGAAACAATTTGCATAATTTTACCCGTAAATAAATGTAAAATAAATTAAATGAAAAAATCTATATATTTTGGATGATGCAGACAGCGTCATCGGCATGTCTACAGGCGAGATTTGGACTGCACAAGTGGCCAGCAAAATGGTTAATTAGCTCAACAGCAATTCCAAAACAATAACATTTATTGAGGGAAAATTATGCACATTCTCCTTTAACATATACAGTACCTGTATACCTGTATATATACCAGTAAGTTTTATATACAGTACCTTTCACTGCCGAACAACCTGATATTCCACACCATCAATCTCTACATGTGTAGCATATTCAGGAATGGAATCTGCATGGATGCTTACCAATCCAGATGAAGCCGTTAGTATTAGAGATTGGTCACTACTTTCTATCACCTCATACTGCTCACTTGTCACTTGATACTTATCTCTTTGTGGTTCAGTATCATGAGATGACTCCATTTTAATGTTGTCTTTACTAGGATCTAATGAGTCATCTGGTAATGCATGAGCATCATGTTCTTCTCTCATATGCTTAAGAACAGCAGCAGAAGATGGTAAGTCAACACCACACAAGTGACAACGGCGGCCTGGAGCACGTGGAGCACGACGGTGCTTCACTATCTGTACTGTAGTGCTGCCATCTGGATGTTTCAGCTGTATTTGCTCACCATGTACACACTTTTCATGTTCTGTCATATTATATTTTGAAGCAAATGCTTTGCCACAACTCTGACACTTGAATGGTTTCTCTCCTGTGTGAGTGCGATAATGGAGGGTAAGCTTAGAAGGAAGAAAAAATTTACGTCCACATATTTTACAACCATAACGCCGAATTTTATTGGGATCCAAGTGATATCTACGTCGATGGAGGTTCAACGTATTAACAGTTCGTGCGGCATAGTTACATTGATTGCACTTGTATTTCTTTTCAACTGTGTGGCTGGAATCAACATGCGATAACATTTTTGAACGATAGGCAAATTTCTTGGGGCAGTGAGGACACTGAACACAAGCTTCCTTGTGAACTACTTTAATATGGTGTATAAGTGAATTCTTTTTAAATGATCTTCCACAAAACTCACAAACACATTGACCATGTTGGTACCTTACATGAATTTTTAGTTTAAACTCACAACCTAAAGAAGCATCACATAATGAACAGTTATATGGAGCTTTACTTATATGCTGGTTATAGGCTTCTTCTCTTACATATTTTTTGCCACAATGTACACATTCAATCTTGTAAGAGCGAATATTATCATCATTGTGCTGTGTTTGATGGTGCACCTTGAGCTGTTCAGGAGTTAAGAACTGGTTGCCACACACTTCACAAACCTGGTCTGGGGCACCTTGGTGAATGCTAAGATGTTTCTTTAAATTTCCAAGTAGGGAGAATCTCCGTCCACACGAACGACACTCAAAAAGGCGATCGTGAAAGCCCAAGTGGGAATAGTACTTACGAGCTTCTGTAAATACTTTATCACAGTGACTGCATTCATAAATCCTCACCTTTGTTGTATGCACTTTTCTATGCTCCTTAAGCTGTATGCGCAGATCAAATTGTTCACTGCATTTTAAACACTTGTACATCACTTTCCCATCTTCCTTTACAACCTTTTCCTGATGATACTTTTCTCTTGCTTTATCTGAAGACTTTTTAATGTGCTTAGGTATCTTGTAATCAGTCTCTGGAGCTAAATCACTTATACCAATTTTACGGACTTTATTCCCACCTGAAAGAGCTGCATTGCCATCAGAGAGGTTATCACACGTCCCTTCCTCTGAATCCTCCTCCCCCTCGTCATAGTTATCACTGCTGTCAACACAATCCTGAACAACAGCATCAATTAAACTCTTATAGTCTACATCCTCTTCTGTACATTCCTCTTTAATTTGTGACATACCAGTAGGAATTATATTTTTTATATCTTGATTATCATTCCAATTAATCTTTAACCCTTTATCTTCTACAAATTCATCATCAGTTACAGGTACTTCTCTATTATCAATTTTCCAATCATGATCCTTAACATCATCATCATCATCATCATCATCATCACTCATTTCCAGCTTAACATGAACTTCCTCCTCACTCTCAAGATCATACTCAAAATCTGCATCCCGTTTTTCTCTCCTTTTCCTCCTTCCTGAAATTATATCCTTACGTTCTGTCAACAAACTATTAGTAGATTTTGGTTTATTTGTTTCCTGTACTGAATCACAGATTATTTTCTTTTTTCTCCCTCTTTTCTTTTTAACTGGTTGTGTGTCTGAAACAGGTGGACAACCATAATGTGGTAACTTTCTGGGGGCCTCAAAGCTGGTCTTCTTAAGAACATTGTTAGACTTGTTTGCTGCTGATGATGTTCCTGCAATGCAGTAATAAGAAAATCATGTTGCAAGTTTTTACAACACTAGTTATATTACAGTGAACCCTCAAAGATCCGGACTAAAAGGGGGGACCACCTGTCCAACAAAGCCGATTGGTCGAATCTTCCGGCGAATGTACTAAATGTATAAAAACGATAAATAATGATAGAAAAAACACTATAAATACAGTACTGTACATACTATCCTGACCGCTGGGTAGTTATACAGACTTTTTCCTGTGAAAAAGCCATTATTTTGAGCAACATATTACTGGACTCACTTTGTACTCAGATGAACTCCACTAAAGGACTAAAATTTTTCTCTCTTGTGCAAATTAATTGCTATCTTACAAGAATTCCAGCAATGCAAGTTATATTCTGCTAAGTTTAGTCTGTGACATTTTATAAGATAAAAAAACTTTACGCCTATAACCACCTTCACCCTGGCTGGGAGGATGGGGAGGGCCGAGGGGGGGTAAGGTGTTGACACAGCCGGCGGTGAAGGTTGGGAAGGTTACCTAGTGGTATTTATTTATCTGTCATATACGTAGATGGAGTTTAAGTTTTTCGCTTATAAAATGTCACTGAATTGACTTGACAGAATATAACTTACATTGCTGGAATTCTTGTACGATAGCAATTAATTTGAGTACCGATATAAATATCCCAAAGTTTGCACTAGACATAAAAATTTTTTTTTAATTATTTAGCACATTTCAGTACAGGTTTGCCCTTAGACAATTATTTCTTTTACTTTTTTCACAATATGTATTTAGGATGGTGTGTGCCTGTAAATGAGTAAAAATAAAAAGAGAAAGTCACATATATCTACCTGAAAATACAAGTTGAAAACCTTGTACTTAAGTGTACTACACTAAAGGATAAAAAAAAATTATCTTGTGCAAACTATGTAATATCTACACTCAAATTATTCGCTATCTTGCAAGGATTCCCGCAATGCAAGTTATATTCTGCTAGATTTAGTCTGTGGTATTTCATAAGATAAAAAACTTTGAGACTAAAACTACTTTCACCCTGTTTTGAGAATGCTTTTTAGCCCAGAACCCCTAAATTTGTTGTCGGAATCTTCCGAAATCCGGATTTATAGGGTCCAAATCTTCGCGGATTCACTGTATCAACATCTGAATATTTTTTAAAGTCTCTACAGAAAATAATGACCAATAGTAGCTACAGTACTGGGAAAACATGGAGCACTTCCTTCTTTTTGGCTTTTCTAAATCTAAATGATCAAGCTTTCTTTGAACAGGTACTGCATTTGCTAATTCTTCTATATAATCGACAGAATTTTTGGGGATCACCTTTGATAGTTAGTGATTGGATATATCAGTGCCATATTCTCCTGCTCCCTGAACAATGGTGAGGCTATATTTACCGTATTTTATGGCATATAAGAGACACTTTTCGGTCTGAAAAATAGTTAAAGAAATCGGCCTGCATTCTATATGGGAAGTAGAGGTCTCCCATATGCTAATGAATTCCCTAGTTGCTGTCTCCAGTAGGCTAAATTCTACCTAATCCAGAATTACAAATACCCGGTACATTATTGCTTACTTAAACACATTATTATTACTTTTAATTTTAAAAAATATAATAAGTGTAAATGTAAAAGCTGGATTTATAACTACAGTACTGTACTGATGATAATAACCCGAGACGATTAACATCCATACAGCAGACACCCAACTCTTCAGAGGTAGCTAAGCAGTAACCATTTCTGAACTCTTACAAGCAAGACTATCTATTAATGTCTACAAATACCTGACATAAATGAGGATTTACAGATAACTTTCGTTTCACATTTGCATCTGTTAACATTGCTGGCAGCATTGTAGCCAAGATAGACTTGTCCTTGTAACCACCAGGCTACTGGGCCAAGCTGTGAGGTGTTGTGGTTGTTTTTCAACTCTTATATTGGGTAGATATACATAACTTTCTTCATTTATTTTTACTCGGTTACATACACATACCATCCAACATACAATGGACATATTGTGAAAAAGGTAAAAGAAATAATTGTCATAAGGGCAAACACAAAGGAAATAAAAATTTCTTTGCTCACGAGTTAACTGGCTCAGTGGAGGAATGGGAGAAGAGTGCGTAGTGTGGGGGGGGGGCAGGTGTTGGTACGGACTCGGTGGAGGTAGTGTCCCTGCCTGTCTGCATTACTATGGTGAAGCAAGGAGTGAATGTAAATGGCAATTGTGTTAAACTTTCATTTGGCTTTTATTTACTGTTTAGCAATTCAGTATTTTTGGGGTAACTTATTTATTGGTATTATTTTTATTTATTCCTCACATTTACTGATACCGTATATATTATTTTAAGAAAACTATGGCTGCAGGAGGAAAATACACAATTTTTTTTTCTTCCTAAACACTTCCTGCTAAAATGGCCATGTGTCTTATATGGCTGTGTGTCTTATGTGGCCGTGTGACATATGGCCGTGTGTCTTACATGGCCGTGTGTCTTATATGGCCGTGTGTCTTATATGGCCGTGTGTCTTATATGGCCATGAGTCTTATATGGCTGTGACTCTTATATGCAATAAAATATGGTAACTACTGTAACTTTCATCAATATCTAAAAGGGTCCCCCCAAAATATGAATGTTGCCAGAAAGACAAAAGGGCTCTCAAATGATTGCCCTGACTTAACCTAACCATTTTTGTTATCAAGCAGCTCTGAGGTCTCCCATCATGTTAGTTGCAGTTGGTTTCACTGTGGTGATATATATATATATATATATATATATATATATATATATATATATATATATATATATATATATATATATATATATATATATATATATATATATATACACACAGCATTACCTAAAAAAGGTTTAAGATGAGTTCATCTTACATGATTAATGTGCTTTCAAGGGTTGTGACAGTGACCTATATGACGTTACCCAAGTACATTAATATCCCCGTTAGCCGGAATCCCTCAAACCCGGAACTCTCTGATAGCCGGAATTTAAATTTTTTCAGAAAATTGCTCCCAAAGCCGGAATTTTCCAACAAATTCCAGCTTTGGGAGCAATTTTCCGAGGGGCACATTTTTCGGAAAATTACGAAAAGTTTTCCCAATACCCGGAAAATTACGGGAATGGGGGAGTTTTTTCCTGGTTTGAGAGATGAAAATCTGGCGCATTTTCTGGAAATTCCGAGAAAAATTTTCCGGTACCCAGAAAGTTCCCAGGATGAGGGTTTTTTCGGGTTCGAGAGATGATGTAATGGACAATTTTTGGAACTTCCGAGAACATTTTTCCATTACCCGGAAAATTCTGGGGACGAGGGATTTTTTCTGGCTTTAAGAGATACGGAAATTTCTCATTCCCAGAAGTGCTCTGCACCAATTGTTCCGGCTAACGGAGATATCACTGTATTAGTTTAAGTAAGACATTGCAAACAACCAGACGAGTTGTGTATTCATGAAGCACAACAGGTAATGAGTGTGTTGTGCTCCAGGAGACATAACTGCAAGGAAATGAACAAAAGATAAAAGTGGAACTATAATAAGTAGAGAAAATATGATCCTATTTGAGGCTGAAGGATAAAAGAAAGGTGGGCAAAAAATGTATATTACCTGTCCAGTGATAATGATAGTGGAGGTAAGAAACAAAATATAAAACAGTACTGTACTGTTGTGTCCATGCCAATATTCCAGTTTAGGGAACGGAATTGAAGCAACTGTTAGCAAAATGAAAAATTGTGAGGTATGTAGAGGGTTGATCACCCTTTCACGAGAATGTCTAAAACAAATTGGTGCTTGGACGTCCTACATATAATACCCAGATCTGTTTTGAGATAACTTCTATTAACCTGTCCCATTATAAAGTGAGAAAGATTAACAGAAATTGAATTTAAGTTATTAATTATGTAAAATGTATATAAATGCATTCCATTAGTGAACTTACTTCCAATTTGTTGGAGAAATGGTATCTTCAGAGACTTCACATCATTTTGTCCCCTCAACTCACTTGTCTGAAGACTTGGTACTGAATTTGAGACACCATCAAAACTATCAAAATCATGCTCCTTTTTAAGATTACTTTTGGAAGATGCTTGGGTCAAATTTGTTCCTACTCCAACATCAATCAAGATGGGAATGTTGCATTGTGTAGTTGCTGAGGTGGGTGTTGGTTGAGCACAAAATAAAATAGGAATATTGATTACAGAGGGGCAGGTGGGTACTGCAAAGAAAGCTGGGTCTGTCTGACAAGGAACTGAGCACTTATCAGAATTGATGAATAGTATCTCTTCTTCACTCTCTTCATCATCAACAAATAAGATGCATTCTCCTCCTGCAATACCCTTTTTCACTAACTCAAATTTGTCATAACCACTGTCTTCAGACATTATCATTAGCAGGTTGTGAAGTTACAACATGTTTGTAATCTGGAGGAAAGATTTTGAAGCTTTGGATTTTTCATTATCTACCATGCTCCTTCCTCAGCAATCTTTTACTGTACCTGAAAAGAAAAAGATGATTACCAGGTATACAATACAGTACAGTACTTCTATATCAGAAGACAATTTACAAAATTGAATTACAATTACAATAAAAATAATAAAATTCTTACAAAAAACAAATGATAAGAACAGTGATTTTGCAGGAATGGACCATCAAATACTGTACCACAGTACAGTACTAAACTTTAAAATATATTACTTAGTGTTTCATTCCTACTGAAAACCACCACAGTTCTGTGACTGTTGTTGGTTTTATTCACCAAAGCACTAAGTATTGGTGGCAGCAGCCTACAATACTTCTTGTTTCTCAAGTAAATTTAGTACAGTATAAATTTAGTACAGTCTCCCCTCGACTTACGACATATTCGACTTACGACAACCCGGACATACGACGGCCCAGTTTCCTCCTCTGCTCTATCCAATTACTGTAGTCTCCATGCTTAATTAAAAAATTATTGAGGCCCCATATGCATTCAGCTGACTACATTAAAGGTAAGTGCAGAGTAACACTTTATTAATTTTTCATTACTGATTACTTTTACTATACTGTACTGTATTTCATTTTAGAATTTCTATGTATTATTTTCACCTTTTCGACTTACGACCAAATCGACTTAGGACCTGGTCGTCGGGACGTAACCCCGTCGTAAGTCGAGGAGAGACTGTAATTTATTGTGCTCCCATATTGGATTTGGATTCTGAGCCCTAAAAAAGACATTTCAGAGCAAATTTCAAAGAAACCAAACCATTAAAGTTTATGGGAGTGTTTTTATTCTTAATTAACAAATTTACAACCTATCAATGCATTTGAGTACATGCAATTTTCCCCATGCCACTTCCTACATGCATTCAGAACATCATGCCCTTACAATTCGCTGATTTTTAATTCACAGCCCTAGATTATTCACGGATGACACCCTGGATGTACCCAAGAATGTCTGCGGGCAGTTTTAAAGTTGCCGGCATTTTTGTAGCCAATTTCACTGGATTTACTGTTATTAATAGTGTTTACTAAAAGAATAGTGCTTAACAGTGATTAATCATGGCATTGTAGCTCATCATTGTAACCACCAGGCTACGGGGCCAAGCTGTGAAGTGTTATGGGTTTTTTTCAACTCGTTTTCAACTTGCATATTCTGAACATATGCTATGTGCATACTGTACCGTACTTACAGAACAATGTTTAAAATCCCATTAAATTATAGCGCAAGTCCTTATACACAGTCTCCCCAAACTAACGCATGCGTCACCAGCCTGGTCGTCTTCTCTCAACTCCACCCAACAACGTCAGCTAGAGAAGGTACAGAAAAGGGCCTGCAGAATCATGCTCGGCGCAGAATACTCAGGCTACACCAACGCTCTCTCCACCCTGGAAATTCCATCCCTCAGTGACCTCCACCACCAAGCACTGGAAAGGTTTGGCAGCCAATTAATGCACCACCCTCGTCATCGCCACCTCCTGCCACTGGCAGCCCCCTGCCCACCTCGCGCAGTCTGCCACTACAACAAAATTCAGCCCATAAGAGCCTGCACCGATAGATATAAGAATAGCACCATCCCATCTATTGTTAAAATAATAAACAACTCCTGATTTATGTACTGTACAGCCCTGTAAATGTATTCAATGCATATTATATCATTATATCATTATGTATATTTTCAGCCACCGGCTGCAACTCTATTAATAAACCGTTTATTATTATTATTATTAAAATCACTTAATTTCAAAGAAAAGAAGAAATAGAAAAACAAAATACAGTAAATGAAAGTAAAAAATAGGTCACCCGCTAAATAAAATACAGGTGCTCCTCTACTTACAAACAAGTTACGTTCCTGAGGCTTGTTTGTAAGACCAATTGTTTGTAAATCCAACTTTACTCTTGTAGATACCAAACATATTGTAAAAAATGAAAAGATTAGTATGGATATTTAGTACAGCTATACCCTTTAATACAGCCTTAAAGCCTGGCTCACTCTTCTCCTCTTAGGTAATGTTTGTTCTATCTGGAATTTTCTTCAAAATAATCCAGTCTCATCCACATTAAACACCTGTTCTGACAGGTAACACCCCTTGGTGATGATGGTTGTATCTCTGGAAGTTTATAAGTTGAACGTTCTTTAGAGGAGCACCTGCACTGTAAATTTAAAGTTTAACCCCATTCGTATCGACGGGTGTTTGTAAGTCAGACGTTCATAAGAATTTTATGATAAATAGCGAATCTGTATTTGATTATTGGTTCACAGCAAAATATCTACTGCCTTTAACATAAAATAATAACAAATTCAGTCTTTTTTTCTTGTTACTTCGTTGTTTTAGTTTAATCTTTTCTTAATTCAACACATTGATGATCAAACAAGGGAATAAACCTATGCCACAGTAGTGACAAGCAAGTGGAGTACAGTACAGGTACAGTACTGTACTATGTTTTTATGTAATAGTGAAAGAGTATCACACATTACCAGGAACTTTAGGATTTTTTTTATATAAGATAAATGCTTTCTTACCTCATAAACATCACATAAATTGAGAGCAATTTAAAACTTGATTAATTTTGATTTTGTGATTTTTTTCATCCTGAACATTCACTTACATTGTTGCGCTATAACATCACATTTACTGTACATATTTACCATTTAAATGCTGAGTGTTACCACATACAATGCTACATCATATGATTCATTGGATATTAAATGAACCAACCTACAAGTAAGCTTCCTATTCTAGGTTAGATTTAGATAGCTTGTTTGATAAGGTCAGGAAAATGCACACACAATCGTTCATACAGAATATGCAAAAAAAATAATAATAATAATTAGAATACGGTAAATAAAAGGGGGGATTAACAGTTCTTATGTGGTCAGCAGTAATCCTCCTCACTTTGAGATTTTCATGAGGTAAGAAAGCAATATTTCCTTCTGGCACTACCTTTATTTAAATTTATTACTTTGGTGGGAAAATGAAGACAGTGGCTTGTTTAATCTCCCACTGTTCCTGATGAGTTTGTCTTTCATTGTCCAGTACTGGTACACAAGGAAAACTGAATACCCAAAGAAAACCTGCAATGTTTGGCAGGGTCACGCATGGCAGCACCCTTTTCACATCCAACCTGGGGTTGAACCTGTGACACTTAGAAAAAATGCAGTTTTGATCACAAAAAATTGGCCACGGCTTTGAAGCAGAGGAAATTTGTGGGGTAATAACATGCAAAAAAAATATAAAATAACACCAAACCTAACAAAATGTAATCTATTACAGAAAACTTTAAAATGTGTAATTTTTATGAAAAGGTTCCCAAATTAAGAAATCTTTCAATAGAAAATGAATTTCTTTGGTTTATCAAGAGCATCCCAAAAATAGTAGAGGAAATAAATTTTTGCCAAAGAAAAAGATCATCAAGAACTTAAACTAAAGAATCTCGAATATTATTACAGTACAGTATACATGTCTAACCTAACCTAATCAGAGAAACCAGAAGTAGCTGACCTAATCTCCTATCCAGTGGGAGAGTCCCTTGGATCCCCAGTGTGCAAACCTAACCCAACCCAAAAAGACAAAAGAAAAACAAAGGAACCTAAAGAGCCAAACCTGAAATGAAAAGGCCAGAAAAGTTGAAGAAATATAAATTTCCAAGGAAAACGCTATAAACTATTATTTTTTATTTATTTATTTGGTAATCATTGATTACCAAACCACGGCCGAAATTCAGAGAAAACGATTTTAAAAATGCCGCAATTTCAGTTTTTTTTTGGACACTTGTAATTTGTGCAAATGTGTTAAAAAATGTAAAGTATTTCTAAAATAAAAGAACCTAACCTTAGAGTCCCTTGTCTTTTCCTTTCCTCCTCTTTCTGCTAGATTAGGTTAGGTAGGTTGGTTCCTTTGGTGTAAGAATAGGTTTTTTGGTGTTTTGGGGGTTAACGCTAGATTAATGCTGTCAACGATTCTAGTAAGAACACACTGCTTTTCCACCATAATTTTTTTTTGTTAATTGCTAGTGACAGTGTTCTCTTTTGGGGAAGTGTTTCTTTTTCCTGCATGAACTTAGCTGTTTTTTTTATTGGAGAGAGTTTTTTTTTTCTGGGAAAAAAAAGTTTTCCTTATTTAACCTAACCTGACCTATACCTCTAGCGGGGGGGGGGGGAGATTATACCCCCCATGAGTGGTTATAAATTGTCAGTATCTAGCTTATCCTTTTTTAACCTAAAGTAACGTATTCCCCTATTGGGAAAACGCTATTTTATTCAGAGTTGGGTCTTGTATTATATAGCATGGTAATGCAATTCAGACGACCTGCGCACTAACCACTATGGCTCGCCGACGGTATTATAGTTTAAAATAAAATAAAAAGTGTCTTTGCTGGCGAGATTGCTCGCAGCACTTAAATAAACGATTGCCGCTTTTGGAAGTGTTTTCTCAAATCTGACCTCCATTTTTGTGCAAATTAGCAGTTTGTTAAAAATTTTAAATTCTAATATTTTGCAAAAAATGCTCATATGCACAAAAAGTCAGATTTAAATAAAACCTCCAAAATAAAAAATAAATAAAAAAGTATTATACCAAAACCTGAGACCGCTAATGGACGAATATTTACCAATGTACCTAACCTTACCCAACCTAACCTAACCTTACCTAACCTTACCTAACCTAACCTAACTGTATTATTATCGTTTCAGTCATCCAGTGAATTTTAGGATCATAAATTACCACCGTCCAAGAGAGGTTAGGTTATGTTACGTTGATATTATGTTTTTCTGATGGTTTGTGAGGTGTTTTTGAACGACTCTGACCTGCTTTCAAGTAAGTGGATGACCGAAACGATAATTTAACCTAACTTCCTAGCCGCCGGACTCCCCGCCATATTAAACAGAATGTACTTCTTTTGATATCTAGTACCAATGAAAGTAATTTTGTTGAAGTGGAATGGTAGTGTGTGGAGGGGAAGGGTTATATCTCCATAAAGAATAATATCCGAAGGAATTTAAGATCAGATTCTAGTAAAACACAACGACATACACTTAAAAAAAAACTTATTCTTAGTAGTAATTTCCTTGATAGACAAATTTCAGAATCTTTATCCCCAATCGCTATAACATGTCTTCTCACGAGTATTTTCACACACTAAACAACCAACAGTACAGTACCGTATAGTGGTATTTATTTACTCCTCAGTGATCACCACAGGACAAGTCTACCCCGAGTCTCAGCCCTTCAAATATTTTTAGATGTTTTATTCTTTTATAAATTTTAGGTAAATCTTTAAAATATTTTCCATGTGTCTACAGATAAAATTTAAATATACATATTTATTTAATTCATTAGACTAGAACAAGTTAAATAAATGTACCAATACCAAAACGGTTATGACTGAAATTGGTAAATGGACGATCCAATTACGTTCGTGTATTTGTAGTTTAAAATAATACATTTGTTGACACTTCTTTGCTTACCAATTAGAAAGTTTAAACTCGTAACATAATATTATGGTCATTTGGTGTGGTTACATTCCTACAGTCCATGTCGCCATAGTTTAAAGTTCCCCTGACATGGGAGTGGGTTAGGTTGAGCACTTACGTTGTCCATTAAGGATTATAAATTCCTTTGGTTTATTAAGCTACAATTCTGCTGGAATCTAGATACATCCAACAATACGTAAGTCTCTCCCCTTTAGTTTAATTTTACACCACGTTGAGTCTTCAATAAACAGCTTTCCCCTGTACCCTCACTTGGCTGGCTAAAGTCTTGCAAGTTGCCTGATAATGATATATAAATGAATCGTATTCATTTTCAAATTCTCCTGCTCTTGTACAACAGTTCTAAAGCACCTACTATATGGGGTTGATGGGTCTTGAGTAAAGTTTCAAACTCTGCTCACTTGTCAAGGAAAGTGTCATTGTTAGTGTAGATGACTTTCACGCCGGAAATAATCCCCGGTAACGGCTCTGCAGATATGACAGCAGAGTGCATGTCACCCAACTAGAGAGGAGTTCCCTAACTTTTTATTTTTTATACAAGTTTATTTACCAACACAAAGAGTAGGCTGGGATAGCCTTGGATATGCACCCAGTGTCTTCGTTGGTTGCATCATCCACCATTTCAATAACATAAATCCCCGCATGGCTGGGGATCCAGCAAAGAATAAAGTTCCTTTGCTGCCAATGTATGTATATGCTGCAGTGGTGGTTCAGATGTTTCTTACAACGCCGACCTGGAACCGCTGTGTGGTTGGCCATAGTGAGCTCAAGAGCCTCGTAATAGTTTTTGGAGTCCCAGAGAGCCAGGCGGAGGGAACTGTGAGTAAGGAAGCACACGATAAGGTGCTGTTTCAATATATTTGTTCAGAGGCTCTGAAGATTCCATCAACCCCTCAGGATGTGAGGAGGCTGGGACAAAGCAGGGGGCTAAGCCTCGCCCCCTCAGGGTCACACTAGTGAGTGAGGAGTTGACATGGCAGGTTATTCGGCAGGCAAAAAACTTAGCAATTAGCGAGGCATTTCGGGATGTATTCATTCACCCAGATCGCACGGTAATGCAGAGGGAACAGCACAAGAAGCTCCTGCAGGACTTGAAACAGAAGAGGGAGGAGTCGAGGAGGAACGGGGACAGGTGTACATGGGTTATACTCAGGGGGAGGGTAGTGGAAACAAGTGTGCCGACACAGGGCCAGGGGGCAGCAGTGCACCCTCCACCCACTCAACCCACCACCCGGGAGGCGGCACCAGCTCAGCCTACCGGACAGGAGGGGGCGAGCGCCGTGTAAACAATGGCATTTCTTAACCACACCCTGCAAAATACAGTGTACTTAGCAAATGCTGCAGCTTCTAAGAATGTGGGGGAGGGCGGGTTTATTACTAAGAGCAGAGACGTTACCGAGAACACCAACCAGATATTGTAGGTGTTGTAGAACTGTTGTACAAGAATAGGAGAATCGACTCAGAGGAATGTGAGTTCAGTATTGCTGGATATGACTCATTTACGAACCTTTCTCAAGAAACTTGCAAGAGGGGAGTGGTTATCTACGCTAGGCAAGACCTTAGAGCCACCCAGGCGAGGGTACAGGGAGAGGATGTTTTTGAAGAGTCCAAGTGGTGTAAAATTAAATTAATGGGAGGGGACTTACTTATCGTCGGGTGTATCTACAGATCCCCAAACTGTGGCCCACTAAATCAAAGGAACTTAAGAACCTTAATAAACAACGCGGCGATGCTCAACCCTAGCCACCTCCTTATCATGGGGGACTTTAACTATGGCGACATCGACTGGAGAAGCGAGTACACCCCGAATGACTTGAATAACCCTGCTAGACTTTTTGTAGAAACTCTGAGAGATAATTTTCTGTTCCAACATGTTAGAGACCCGACACATTACAGAGGGGAGCAAACACCCAAGCCACTTGACCTCATCATAACAAACGAGGAGGGTATGGTGGCCAAACTGGAGCACCTTGCCCCAGTTGGCACCAGTCACCATATAGTGTTGTCATTCAGATTTAACTGTTACCTAGTTCAGGATAAGGCCAGGCCAAGGTGCAAATATTACAAAGGGAAATTACAATGGGATGACGGAAGAGATGAGGGGTATCAACTGGCCTGACTTATTAAGGTACAAGAACGCAGACACCACGCTGAATATCATAACTAGTAAAATGACCCATTCGATAAATATATACCCAAGACCAATCCCAGTGCTTCTAGGAATACGAGGGGATCCCTACACATGAACCATGCGGCGGTCGACAAAATTAAGAAGAAAACCCAGAAATTCAAGACGTGGGTTGGGTCAAACGATGAGCAAGACAGGAGGATGTATGCAAGAGCCAGAAACCAAGCAAAGATAGAGTGTAGGAGGGCTGAATAGGAGTTCCAGAGGCTGGTTGCAAGCGAGGTCAAGTCAAACCCAAAGGCGTTTTACCGCTATGCAAAGTCGAAATTGAAAATGCGAGTAGGAGTATCAGACCTGAGGCTGGTGGATGGTAGTTACGCAGATTCTGACCAGGATAAAGCTGAGGCATTGAACAGCTTCTTTTCCTCGGTGTTCACAAGAGAGGATGCAACTAACCTTCCTGCGTTTGAGGACAGACGGTTCGACACCGCACTGACCCACATTGTGTTCACAGAAGAGGGTATTAGAAATAAACTGTCCAGGCTAATGGTCCATAAGAGTCCCGGACCTGACATGGTACATCCTAGAGTGCTAAGAGAGTTGTGCAACGAGCTTGCAGAGCCCCTGAAGATCCTGTTTTGTAAATGCCTGGTTGAACAAATGGTCCCCAGTGAATGGAAAGTGGCTTATGTGAGTCTTATCTTCAAGAAGGGCGATCGTCACTCCACGAACAACTATAGACCGGTGAGCCTGACCAGCATAATATGTAAAGTACTTGAGAGTATTATCAGAGATGCCGCAATGGAACATCTAATACGAAACAACCTTGTAAAAGATTGCCAACACGGTTTTATGCCGGGACGCTCCTGCTTAACACAATTGCTCAAGGTATTGGATATTTGGACCCATGTTCTGGAACGGGGTGGTAATATCGACAATATTTACCTAGATTTTGCCAAGGCTTTTGACAGTGTACCCCACGAAAGGAAGAAAATCAAACTGGAAGGGTGCGGAATTCGGGAAAATGTCCTAGCGTGGATAGAAGACTTTCTACATGACCGCAAGCAGTGTGTGGTGATTAATGGCACGAAATCGTCATCTGTACCTGTCACAAGTGGGGTACCACAGGGCAGTGTATTGGTCCCGCTGTTGCTTGTTTGTTTCATAAATGACATGCCTGACGTTGTACACTCCTCCATACAAATGTTTGCCGATGAACGCCAAGTTATTTCGGGAAATTAAGAACCAAGCGGACTGTGAAGAACTGCAGAAGGACCTCTGTGGGCTCCAGGAATGGTCGAAGAAATGGCTGCTGAGATATAATATCACGAAGTGTAAGAGGATGCACCTGGCGCGTACCAACGGTAAGGGGGCGTATCATATGTCCCAACGGGATGAAGAAACTGCACTAGTTAAGACTGTGTGTGAGAAGGACCTAGGTGTGTATGTTGACAATGAGCTGAAGTTATCGGGCCATTGCGAGAAGAAGGTAAATCAGGCAAATAAATTATTGGGTCTTATAAGAAGGTCGTTGAGATATCTAGACGGTCCGTCCCTCGTAACGATCTTCAGCAGTGAAGTGCTTCCCCATCTGAAGTACTGTCACCCCATCTGGTCCCCGAGATATGCTAGGGACTGTCAGTTGGTTGAAAATGTTCAAAGGAGGGCCACTAGACTGGTGCCTGCACTTCGGCACCTCAGCTACCCTGAGAGATTGGAGCGCCTGAACTTGCCTAGCTTATACCACAGACGGGCAAGGGGGTACCTAGTTGAGGTGTATAAGCAACTCAGGGGGCACTACTCAGTTGAGTGTCCTTACTTGGAGCTGGCGGACGCTCGTCCCACAAGGGGTCACAGCTCAAGATTGAAGAAGCCGCAAGTCCAGAAAACCGTAAGGGCAAACTTTTTCGGAGTGAGGGTTGTAAACTCTTGGAACAGTCTACCAGAGAGTGTTGTGACGGCACCGAGTGTGAGCTCTTTCAAGACAAGACTTGACCAACACTGGAGCAGGTTCAGGTACATTCAGGAGCCGGTGCATGCCCAGTATTTGCCAACAGTGCGTGACAGAGACGTGACCGATCGCCCGGGCGGCTAGCGAGCCGATCTTTTGGTGAAGAAGATAAATGAAAAGGAAAAGTAATCAGAAACGTGACCGATCGTCCAAGCGGCTAACAATCCGATCAGTGGCGAAGAGGATAAAAGTTAAAGTATATGGCGACCAAAATTAGTTTATATCGCGGAACAAGCGTCTGGGGATTTCTACTATAATTTATTTCCATTGTTAGTTAAAGTTACTCCAGTTTTTCTAGACTCGTGGTCAGCTACGCCATCAATAAAGTACTATACTACTATATACCGCCCCTTCAATTGAGAATGTCAACCAATTGAGCTCCACAGGTTCACACTCAGCTTTCTTGTCAATGATAGCTGCTTTTAGTATAAAAAAATCTAAGAAATGTGATGTTTAGTATATAAAGTATTCCTTATAATTTATACACAATTATTTATTATGATTTAGGAAAGATGATGTCCGCTGGCCCATTC